TGAAATCGCTTAATGTTAGTTCTCACCCTGTTCTCGTCGATATTCAACACCAATTGGCCCACTTTTCTCTATCTTCTACTTCCATCCAGTTTTTCTGGATCCCTAGCCACGTCGGTATTCATGGGAATGAGGTCGCTGACACCGCAGCTAAGTCCGTCTGCTCTGGTGCCATCACGACTGTGCCTGTCCCATACATGGACTACGGTCCTGTCTTCAAGGCGTGGCTTCATGCCAGTTGGCAGTCGGCTTGGAGTGAGCAATGCCATAACAAGCTTTTCCAGATCAAACCTTCTATTGGTCTTTGGCCGTCTTGCTTCTGTAAGGATTGGAAGGAGGAAGTAGTCCTGGCAAGGCTACGCATTGGTCATAGTTTTTTAACCCATCATTTTCTTTTATCAGGTATTGACTGATGTGTAGCCATTGTGACACTCATGACACAATAGCCCACATTTTACTGTGATACCGTCGTTACGACTGTGAGCGGCGGCACCATTTTAGACACATTTTTTCTAAAAATTTACCCCTGACACTGGACAGTGTCATTGGTAATGGTGACACTGTCCAATTAGATTGTATTTTTAATTTTTATGCAATATACATGTTTTTAATTCTATATAAATCTTTTACCGACATGTATTGGTTTTAACTCGCTGTATTTTTACATTTTACTTTAATTTACTTTCATTGTTTTTACCAGTTGTTTGGTGCAGATAGTCTCGCTGCTTTGTGCCATAAAGCACCAAACCAACCAAACAACCTGAGAGGTATAATCCTCTCTTCTCAATAATGAAAATAAAATAATCTACATGTATTTTTATTTCATGTAATGGTTCCTTACCACGTTTGTTTTAAACTTTTGAAATACTAACTGGAGTGTATTAAACATACTTTCTTTGATCTAACTTTAACTTCGAAACAATATGTATTTATTAATATCAATGTTTGGGGTGTTTTTTTCGTTCATCAGACACTTTTACTCATACATCCTACCAAACCAAAAAGTCCAACTGATTTGGTTAGGAAACCAAATCAGTGAAACTTTGTGACATGTTAAAATATAGAAGTAAAAACATCCTGGAAAATGAACAATAAGACTCTGAAGCTAACCAATATATTGTTTCTGAAGCTAGTCCTAGTTAAAATCTGATCCAAGAATAAGAAGTAAAACGAAATTCATATATCACTTAGCAACACCATTTCTGAAACATAACTGGTTTAATATGGTCCATGACCATTAATAGATGTCAGAAATATATAAATTATAATAATTTGTGTTCCACAAACACAGGCAAATGTTAATACACATACATGTTCTTTGGAAATTAACCACTCAATATTAAAAACTTTCCAATCATACAACCTGGGCTCTCCTGTAGGTGGGGTGTCTTCCTCTTCTCCTTCACTCCCACTATATCGATAAACTTCTTGTGACTCTCCTACATACAGATTCAATAATATCTCTTAGAAAGATATTAAATTTTTAACATGGGAAAAACTGAAATATATTTTTTTTAATTTCAATTTCTGTTGGTTATAAATTTTCATGTAATAGAGAATTAACTTCTCCTAACCATACCATAAAATAAAACCATCAGTAAGTTTACATGTAAGTACAGTACACCACCGATTTTATGGCAACTGATGGTCCGGCACATACTTTATTCCAGAAAACATTATGATAATGTAATTGAAATTCCCACAACTGCCAGACTACTTCAATGGGCAGCCACAAATGGCATTGCTTATGGTGCACGCTCTTTTGGGACAAGCTACTTACATTTTAAGTAGATATGTCACTCTCGTGAATATTGTCTTATAAATATTAAACTATTGGATCAAATTGCTTGAATTTTTTGATGAATGTTACCAAGAATACGTAGTTTAACAAGATACAAATATTTAGTTTTGATTTTTTCTTCAATTTTTTACAACACAGAATGTTGATAATAGTGTATGAAAATTCAAAATATAACTTAAAAATAACAATAATAATAATAACAGTAAAATTCTATAATTTGCCACTTTGGCATTTATACTGTACTAATGTATTTCATTAATCATTTAATTCACATTTAATTTAAGCTTAATATTTGTTTTATTTAAGTTTCTAGCAGTCCATGGTGCTTTAGAGACATGGGAGGGGTATAATTAGTGGGTCAGAGGTGTATTATTGAACTATTATTTCATGACCTCTGTTGGTTCAGCAAAACGGATAATCCGGCAAGGCTCTGGAACCAAGGTTCCCCGGAAAATCGATGGTGTATCTGTACATAAATATGTACAAGTGTTTTACAAGTCAGAAATAGTATAAAAATATGAGACAATAAGTTTCAAGCATTGTGTAATTAACATTTGATTACCTAAAGTATTAAGCGTTACCTGTCTTTTATTATAAGGTTATACATAAACATGGAACAGACAATAACCAGAGAAAAAGACTTGTTACATGTAAGAGCAAAAGTAAGATTTACATGTAAGTACATGAATATGTAGAAGTGTTTTACAGATAAGCAATCTACACTAATAAAACAAAAACATCATTACCATCATAACAAATAAAAACAAGGGAATTAACCATAACACAGAAAGGTAGTAATAGCATGTATATACCATTTTGATCAAAAACTTCACCTTTCTTGTATTTATGGCATCTGTCAATGTGATCTTTCAGTTGGATCCGCACTTGTCGCTCCGTAGGTTGGTCCCTGATGAACGGATGTTTGAGTAGCTGGTCTGTGTATGGCCGATGTTGATAGTCCTTCACAAGTACTGTCTCAATAAAGCCATGAAATTTTTTTGACCATTTCTTGGACTTCATGCGAGGAGGAGGATTACGAGGAATAAGAAATAACGCTCTCATTGGATGCATGTCACACAAAGCTATTGCAAACAAGAGAAACTGACAGTTTTATTGAGTTTCTGGTGTCTTCCATTTTAAACTACAAGTAGAAAAACCACTATGTATTCTAAAAAAACCTTATAAAATAGCATAAACTTTGTTCATAAATAATCCAATTTTTCAATTGAGTGCATATTACAAAGAAATGAGATAACAAAACTCACTATTTATGCTCTTTTTTATATGTTTATAATGATGTTTTAATGCAGAAATTGAAAACAAAACTAGAAGCCAAAATTTTAAACAATTCTTAAAGTACAAAGCTTTTACAGAATTTAATAGCTGTCTTTATACAAAAAAGTATAAAATATTTACTTACGTGGTTGAGATTCAGCCATTTCTAGAGCAGTTATTCCCAAAGACCAAAGGTCACTCTGAATAACATCAATAGTAACAGTTTTAATGACTGAATATAAAAAATAACTTTTTACTGGAAACCTATGATAAAAAAAATGTTTTTCATTGTTTTTATAATAAACATGAATTAAATTCCAACTTTATAATTTATTATACTTATTAATTTATTTATTACCAAAAATTTTAGGAAAAGAATTATTAGTAAATGGTTTGTCTGTAAATTTTTTCTGTCAATACATATGAAAATGTAATTATAAAGTAAAGCTGTAATTATTAAAGTAGTAGTATTATGGTCACACAGACTGGTCTTTTTATTTATTTTTTAAAAGGAAATCCAAAATTAAGTGAAACTCACTCGGTTGTCGTAAGTAGCATCAGGATTTTCATCACAAGCAATAACTTCTGGAGCCATCCTATTAAACAAGAAACAAAACTATGTTATTAATAAGTCAGTATATCAGTCTAGTTAAATGACAGAAGTATCTTGCATATACACACATATTCATGTTTCCAAAAGTAAAAATAGGGTCACAGTACCTTACTTTTAATTTGCTTATCAGAAAAATTAGCACTTTACCATGCAAATTAAATTCCAAGATCAAATTTCTCTATATTTATAGAATTAAGGAACTGAATGCAACCAGACAGAGTACTGATGAGAACATAAATATTCACTTTAAAACTTCAGATTGTGTGATAAATAAAAGCTGTTTGGTTATATCATGTTATCAGTATTCAATCTGGAGATGCAGTTAGCCAAGACAAAGCTTTATAGTAAAAATCATCATCTGCAGTTTGGTTGAATCACGTTATTATGATTTGATCTGAAGATGCAGTTAAACAAGACAAAGCTGTGTAGTAAAAACCTTTACTGTCAGTTTGGTTACATCATGATTTAACTAATCAATCTGGAGATGCAGTTAGCCAAGACAAAGTCTGCATACTACAAACCTTGACCTTCAGTTTGGTTGCATCATGTTATCATTATTCAATCTGGAGATACAGTTAGCTAAGTCAAAGCTGTATACTACAAACCTTCACCTTCAGTTTGGTTACATCATGCTATAACTAATCAGTCTGTAGAAATGGTTAGCCAAGACCTGTAAAACAGCTCTTTGAAGTGGGTGTCTGTGTGTGTGTGAGAGGGGGGGGGGGAGATTTTAGGTAAAGAATTCATATTCAAAAAACCAACAGGTAATATTATTCACATAAAAAGTAAAATCATCAATAAGACATAAAACTGAATTATACTAGAATATTAAATGTAGGAAAAAGTAATTCTCCATTAAGAAAAGAACCTTAGAAGAGATCACCATCTAAGACAAAAATAATTTTAAAAACACTGTATCATTATCACGTTTATCATATAGTGGAATTTTTTTAAAGCACATTCTTAGAAAAAAACATCTCAATGGTGAAGTATAAAAAATTATGCAAAATAGACGAGATACCAGTATGGTGTGCCAATGAATGTATTTCTCCTTCCGATTGTTCTGTCGAGTTGGGCACTCACTCCAAAATCAACTGAAAAATTCAAAATTCAAATTTTTGAATCCCACCTATTGTGTAGAAGATGAAGATGCACCATTTCCTCACTATAACTCTTGCTTGAAAATAATAAAATTCGTCATTGAATTTCCAGTTTTTTTGAACTATGAAAATTAATAGGAAAAATTTAATAGCATGCATAAAAATTGAAAGATATTAATAAGTATAACAAATGATTTTGTCATCCAAGGAAAATGTTAATGTGAAAAAAAAAGAAATATAGTGTAAAATAAAATATTAGGTTCTCATAATAAAGTCTGGAAGAAAAATTTATATTGCAAAATTTTAAAATCATCAAAAATGCTTTGAAAATTTATTATTCCTCACCTAGTTTTACTTCTGCATTATCTGTGAGAAGAACGTTTTGACCTTTTATGTCTCTGTGAATTATCTTATTTGCATGTAGATGACTAAGACCCTAAAATTTGAAAAAAACATGAATTTCTATTTGATTTCACGGACATAACTAGTAAGCTTACTTTTCACACTATACAAATGTTTAATCAAAGAAAATATAATTTTAAATATGAAAAGTACTTTTAAATATAGATTTATTCAAAACATTTTTTACAAAAAGAGCAATATGTTGAGTAGGCCAACAATTATTATAAATTTTTCAAATACTGAGTGTTTTATTTTTATTCTAAGCTGTGTTCACTTTGAAAAATCTAGTAAATACAAGGCTATCGGAAATATTTACCCTAAGAATCTCTCTGCAAACATAGGCTATCCACTCTTCTTTTAAAGACTGCCCTTTGGTTGCTGAGGTGAACAGGTCAGAAGAATATTTAAGTTACTTCAAAAAGTGAACCATTGGAAACATAAATCTGTACTTTATAAAACATATAATTTGTTCAAATTGCACAACAAATATCAATAAAACATAGTGTTAAAATATCAACACAATAAGCCAACAATAATTATGACTTAATTATTTCAACAAAGCACTAAAATAAATTATTTGATGATAAATTTCATTTCATGCAAAACAATTAGAAATTGTTTTAAACATCTAAAATAATAAAGGTCAATAATATATTAGGTTGGATGGTTTAAAATATGTTACAAATTCTGTATAAATTTTATTTTACTTGTATATAAACTGAAATCTACTACAAGGAAAAACTGCTATTTTCTAAGTATAAAAACGACAAATTCAAGGACTTTTGCACATAATAGTAAGGAATGTTGGGAAAAACTACTACAAGGACATCTATGCATTATACTCTAGAATGTCAGAATAATTGACATACTTACACTTGACAAGGTCTGTTACAGAACCTGCCCCACAATATTCCATTACCAACTAACAAAAGAAAGAGTTTATCTGTAAAATCAGCACATGGCAACAATACCAAATTCTTTTCCTTCAACAATAATTATTAATTCAGACATTTATTCAAAATATAAAAAAACAATTAAATTTTAAAAATGATTGAAAACTATTTCATACCTCAAATTACAAAACTCAAAGTTATGAATTTTTACTTGACGTACACAAAATACATTTTAGTATATTTTATGAATGGTCAACCATTTGAACATAGATAACATTGAATCTACAATATTATCAGATTCAAAAATAATAACTATTTGAAAAAATAACTTCTTTAGGAATTGGATTTAATTATTTAACAGGAAATTTTCCTCAAAATAAAAATGCATAAAAAGGTGACTTGTGTGACAACAGCAATAAGTATATTTAGTTTAGTATTCAAAAACTTCTTATTATAAATGTCTATTTCAACTTAAATTGCATGTACATCCAAGTGATACTGCTTAAATATGTCTTACAATGTTTACTAATCATTCAAACTGCACTAAATATGGTGTTACAAGTCTGCACATGATTAGCTGAATTACAGTGACACACACACGTGTGGGTGTATATATGACTTTATGTTGGTTATTGCAGAAAATATAGTAAAATATTTTTCTACTCATGATTTACCTGAGAATTCTGTTTTTTCTATTTATCTGTTATTAATTCATTGAAACAAAGTTTCTCAGTTGAACTTAATATTAACTAGCTTTTACTAGTTTCATAAAAAAGTATTTATTTCTGATGTATTATTAAACATTTTCTAGGACACAATTAACAAAACTGTAAAACATCCTTAAAATGTTAGTCACTTCCAGTGTATAATCACAAGCTGAATAAGACAAGTAGTAGTTAAATAGCTGAACTGTTCTTAAAGTTTTATTCACTACTATACCTATGCCCTCAGCCTAAAATGCTAACACATGTCCCAACAAAAAAACATACCCACAGTTTGTCATCTTTTCCTGGTGGACTCTTTTGAATAAAAGCACCATAATACGTTGCAATATTCCTGTGGTGAGAATACTAAAATAGGAAGAAAATCAAGATTCAGTTTATAAAACTATATTTATATTAAGAGTAATATAAAAATAGCTAAAGTAATGTAAATGGTAAAGGTATATGATACTTTGCCAATAAAATATATAAATTATTTAGTACATGTCCTGTAACTTTATACAAAACAAAAAACGTATTTTCAAGTACTTTATTATTTCTCTTAAAATAAGATACATATAAAAACTCAAGCAGGTTACACATGCTTTTCAACCAGAAAGAGAACATTACATGCACTTCTCTTTTACATGTATGTTACTTGTAAATATGCTATTTTTGCGTTTTTGTTGAGAAAAAAACAACAGATTAAAGCACAGGAATGAAATGTATTACAAGTAGAGTTGGGCAAGTTAATCAATTACTAAGGTGCAGCAATCACATTAATTAGTGTTTTGTAAACTAATTGATTAATCAAAATTATGATTTATTGATTAATGTCACAAAAATAATCAAATAATCCAAATTAGTGATTCCATTTATTACTCTTCTTATTTTTTCTAACAATTGCATGATTAATCAAAATCACCATTAGGTCAATTGTCATGAAATTAATCAAGAAATCTTCACTGGGATTTCTTATTATTTACTATTTTTGATCATTACAGCAATTAAAGTAATCAAAATATTATCATTAAGTTTGTTGTTAAGCATACAGCTACATAATGGGAAGGGGATTCTACTAAACTAGCTCATTCTGTATGTCTTAGTACAAAACTACTATTTTGAGCTTAATGATTACTTAATTTAAAAAGAGTGAAAATCTACTGGTCCTACGAGGATAGACTAAAATCTCTTAAACTGGTTTTCTTTGGAGAGAAGGGTCAGAGGGGATTTGATTAAGGTGTTTAAGGGTATTAACTTGTTTGTGTTTAGCAGTGAAAACAATAGGACAAGGGTCATAAATTCAAATTTTGGCAGCGTAGAAGTTGTCTGCAGTTTAGAGAGTATTACTTTTCAAACAGGGTGGTTGGCTTTTGGAGTGAGCTGGTAGAGGCAAAAAATTTAACTGACTTTGAGAAAAGATTGGATGAATACATGAGTAGTAAGGGGTGATTATAGTTGGGAGCTGGAAGGGACATCCTTAATGGGCTAATAAGCTCCTTTTTGTCCCTTTAAGATTTTTATGGATATATATAAAACAAAAAAATTATCTACAAAGTTGTATAGTTTATTTGTATAAAAAACAACCATAAAGAAATTAAAATCATGGTTATATAAAAATAAACCAAGAATTTATTTCTAACAAGTTCAACATTATTGTAAGTTATAATGAATAATAAAGATTACTATCGAAATATGGCTGGCATTTTTGTTATCATCACTATCTCACCTTTTTCAGAACATTTATTTCAAGCTTGATTTCTTCCTCTTCATCCTGAAAAAATAGTGTTGATCATTAAATAGCATCATAAAAAAGATCATAGAATTTTAATAATACCTGAAGTGCATACTTGTAGTTGAAGAGAGATCTTAGGTTTCAGTCACTTCACTATAAGGTACTTCTTTTTCTCTTTATCAATCAAGTCTGTAAGACCCATGTACTTCTTGATAAAAAAAAAACAATAATTTGCACTTGTGAATTTTGCTTAGGCTCATAAGGTGGATGAAAAACAGAGAAATAAGAATGTAGAGTTGAAGAAGATCTGATTGAGATGTTTAAGATTGATGGTGCTGATGCATCATCTTTTTTATACTTAATGGTTAGAATGATAGGACTAGGGGACACAAATATACATTTTGGCAGGGTAGGAGTTATCAAGGCAGTTTTATTCTTTTATAACAGGGTGGAGCAGGTTACCTTCAAATGCTGTGGAGGAAGTAAATTTAAGTGAGTTTAAGAGAAAACTTGATAACTATATGAATGATAAGGGCTGACTTTTAGAGATTTTGTTTTTATTATTATATAATAGTTTTAGTTTAAAGGATAGGACAGCCCAAATGGACCAATTGGTTCCTTGTTGTCCCTAAACATGATGTTATTTCATATATAAATAGTACAACTACATTACTTATTTTAAAAAGATAAATCCTTTGTTAATAATTGTTAGTGATCATGTTATTTTTTCTATACGTTTCATTCCACTTTCTTCTTTAGACAAATTGCATTTAATATAGGTATCTCTCAAAAGGTACAGACATAGTTAACTCTTTATTATATTTTTTCAACTGGAAAGGACAAAAGTAATTACTTACATATAAAATAAATGAGAAGCCTAAGCTATCAATCGATTTACCACTTGTCACCGAGTTATACCGATTTTGAGGGAATTACTCCCTTCATATGTAACCTTGGATAAGGGCAACTCAAAAGAATAGGCTTCATATAGTGGTGGAATGTATTTTATATCTCGATATTAGATGAAATAAGTAATGTATTTATCTTTGGTTAGTTATCATATTATTTTGTAATTAAAAAAAAAAGGAAATAAAAAGTGGTTAAGTCAATTAAATGTAACATTGTTACATTACAGTTACACACTGACTATTCCAGTAAAAATGATTGTTTGTATGATTTTTTCATTATTGCTATCAACTTTAGCTAGGAGTTTTGTTTTCGAATTTTGCAAAAAGCTATTGTAGGCTATTTCCAATAGTATTCCCTAATTTTGAAGTGATAGGTGAGGGGAATTTTGTTTGTTTGTAGTTAAGCACAAAACGATATCTGTGCTATGCCAACCACAGGTATTGAAACCTGATTTTAAGCGTTATAAGCCTTCATCCTTACCACTGAGCCACTGGGGTGGGACAGAGAACTAGTCTACACCACCCACCGCTAACTCTTGGCCTATCCTTACCAAGAATTGACTCTCATATTCAAATGCTCCCACGGCTGAAAGGGGTTTGTTCGGTGATGGTTCAATCCCACGACTCACATATTGTAAGACAAGCGCCTTAACTATCAGGCGAACTATGAAAATAAAACAGTAAATAACGAATGCTTGTTTATATAACAATATTCCTACGAGTATGACAATTCACGTACTTCTCGTTTATGAATATGAATTTCAAGTTTCGTACAATTGTGATATTGTTACGTCTCTGGTCGATAGATAATTTTCCGTAAAAATTATTTCCGAAGAAACATTAGCGATACAAGTTCTTTCTTAAATAAAACTGGTTTATTCTTTCTCAGTACAACTTTGAAATTCACTTAATTCCAACGGTCACACTATAAGTTAAACAAACGCTATAATTCACAACGAACGACACACGCGCTCGACCCAACAATACCTCTAGAGGAAGTATTCAAGCATTTGAAAGCAGCAAACCTCAAACT